GTTTCAATCATTGATTTCCTAACTTACTTCATTTTCTCCATTTGCAGGTATAAATTATTCTCTTTCTTAACAGTGTGCCACTATTTTGATATCGCATATCTTCATCACTCAGTTCAAAATATTTTAATTTTCTTTTCTTAGTCTGCAGTACATTTTACTTTTATTTTCCACATAAATGAATTTAAATAGAATGAATTATTAAAATCAGTAAAATTAAAAAATAATCAAATCAGTACAAAAATGTGGAAAATAGACAGTGAAAGTAAATCTATATGGTTCCACCACTCAGAGATGACCTCTGTTAACAGGATGGTAGGTAACACTGGAATTTTTTTTACACATATGTTTTATATTTTTTTTTATTAAAATAGTTCATTCCACACAGTGTTTAACAATTTGTATTTTTTTCATTTAGCAGTATATTCTGAACATCATCCCATGTCAACATAAACAGTTTTATCACATTTTAACCGTTGCATAGTATTCTCCAGCATGGGGATACTATCAGTTAATTTTTTTTTTTTGTGGGACCCTCGCCGGTGGCCAGGAATTGAACCGGCATTGCAGAGATTGTGGGCAGCCTCGCAACCCAGCGCTCAACTGCTGTGCCACCAGGGGAGGCCCAATTTTTTGAAAATTTTTAATTGAAGTAACAACATTGAATTATAATGTTTAAGTTTCAGGTGCTCATTATTATTACTCAAGCTCTGTATCTCTTATGTTAAGTTCATCCAATTCTATCTTTCATCATACAGTTGACCCCCTTTTTTATTTTATGTATTTTTAACATCATTTTTCATTTTTTGCACAATGTATGCAATTTCATCTTGGTTATAGTCCCCATACAGTTCCCACCATCCTTGTTTTGATCCTACTCCCTTCTCCTCCGCCTATAGTGTGTCTCTGGTTTATAGTTGCTTGTTGATTTTGATTTTTACTTTATTATAATTAGTCTTTTTCCTGGTCCCTTATTTAGGTTTTCTAAATTCCTGCTATGAGTGAGACCATCCAGTATTTTCCTATGTTTATTGCAGCACTATTTACAATAGGTGAGCTATGGAAACAACCCAAATGCCCAAAAATAGATGACTGGATCAAGAAGATGTGGTACATATACACAATGGAATATTATTCAGCTATCAGAAAAGAGAAACTCATGCCATTTGCAGCAACATGGATGGAGCTGGAAGGGATCATGCTCAGTGAAATAAGCCAAAAAGAAAAAGAAAAATACCAGTTGACCCATTCAACCTGACTTACCCACTCCCTGCTTCCTCTTTCCCTTCCAGTGGTGTTATAGTCTCAAGTCTATTTTTGTTTTATTTAACTCATTTGGGCTTTTGTTTGCTTGCTTGCTTGCCTATTTATGTACCACATATGAATAAGATTGTGCTGTTTGTCTTTCTCTTTATGAGTTATTCACTAAGCACAACACCCTCAAGGTCCATCCATATTGTAGCAGATGGCCAAGTAGTATTGCATTTTAGCTGAACAGTATTCTATTTTGTGTATCTGCATTTTATCTATCCAATCATCTGTCCATGGACCCTTGAATTGTTTTTAGCTCTTGACTATCTTAGTTAATGCTGCAATGAACATAGGGATGCAAATATCTCTTCAAACTAGTATTTTTGTATTCTTCAGGTAAATACCCAGAAGTGAGATAATTGGAACATATGCAATTTCTATTTTTAATCTTTTGAAGAATCTCCATGTTGGTTTCCTAATGACTGCACCAAGTTACATGGTATACAAGGGTTCCCTTCTCTGTATATCCTCTCAAAAAACCTCTGTTTTTTGTTTTTGAGTAGTAGTCATTCCATAGATGTGAAGTGATAATATTGTTTGGATCTGCATTTCCCTAATAACAAAAGATGATTAACATTTCTTATGGGCCTATTGGCCATCTGTATGTCTTCTTTGGGCAAGTGTCTATTCAAACCCTCTGCCCATTTTTTAACTGGATGTTTTCTTTTTCTGTTGTTCAGCTTTATGAGTTCTTGATATATTTTAGATATAGACCCCTTACCAGATATATGATTTGCAAATATGTTCTCCCAATCAGTAGGTTGTCATTTCATTTCCATAATAGTTTATTTTGCTGTACAGAAGTTTTTCTGTTTGATGCAGTCCCATTTATTATTACTACTATTATTATTGCTTTTGTTTCTCTTGCCATCAGAGTCAAGTCCTCAGAGCCATCTCTAAGGTTGATGTTAATGAGTTTATTTCCTATGCTCTATTCTACATATTTTATGGTTTCAGGTCTTATATCCAAGAATTTAATCTCATTTGAATTGATTTTGTGTATGGTGTGAAATAATGTTCTAGTTTCATTCTTTGGCATGTGGGTGATTTCTCTTTGCTCCAGCAAAGAATAACCCCCTCGTGCTCCCTGGGCCCTCATAGTCAGTTTCCAATTGTAATGATTGCTTTGCCTCATGAATGACTGAGCTTCAAAACTAGGACTTCATTTTTTTTTGCATTTTGGTGTGCTATCTTGTGCATAACCATTCATTCATATATCTATCTTATAAACATTTTTTGAGCTTCTGTCGTGTCACATAACTGACTTTCCTGCTGTCAGGGAGTGTTAATTTTCTATTAGAACAATTAAGCCCCAAAATAAAGACCACTGATTCATATTAAAGTTTTTACCTGTGTATATTGAAATGAGATAAAAGTAACATAATTTACATGACAGTATAAAAGAAGCAATGTCTCTTTTTTTGGCAAAGACTTTCTCTAATTCTGAGATCATGCCCTTAATATTTCTATTGCTTATGTCTTGTCTTGCTTCTTCTGCCAGAAAACATGTAGTAGTTATTGCAGTTTAAACAATCAGAAAAAAAAAGCTATGTTTTAAAAATCATATATCTAAAAGTCTCAGAGAACTGATGCAATAACAAGGACTAGATAAACTAAAATTCCCAAACAGTAGTAAGCTCTTCCTAGATGACTTAGGGGAATCAGTTGATTATGGGTATGAGGTCATGACTGCTTTTCACCCAAGGAGTGAGTAATGAAAATATATGAAACATATACATATAATGACTATGTCAATGTATTTTTAGTACAGGTTGAAAATTATATAGCAATGGGAGATGAGGATTGAAAGGGAATGAGGATGTGGAAGGAGATACAGATTTTAGATTCACTCATCTGCTATGAAATTTTCTGTATTGCAAAGGAGCAACTGAGGATTTCGTAACAGCTTAAGTGATACAATCCCCTTGCACTTATTGTATTTATTGCAATCTTTCCAGATGATAATTGCACTTAAATAGTAATAATAAAATTATCAATCTTTCTCCCCAGTTTACTGGTGTATGCCTCTCTCTCCAAATTGACTTTCAGTTACTTATGGTTGGTAGTAGGAATATTTTATACCATAGAGATGAGAATTTAATACAAATCATGATATTTTTTTCCTTTTGGAGAGTGGGTTTCTAAATATTTGTCTGTAGGAACAAGAGTTAGGACCACAGAGGAGTGGGGTCTGCAGTTTTATTAAGGACCATGAAAATATATAGAGAGGCCTGTGGGCTCTGGGAGATCATGTAACTCCAGATGAGAGTCATTGAGTCTTCTAAGTGGCACCAATGCCTATGGGAGTTGCTTGAGATTAACTCTCTGGCTCCAATAACCTCACCCAATCAGGAATATAAGGAGTTGAATTTTTTCTTCTCTCTACTTCTCAACCTAACTTTAGTGGATAATCACCATAAAGAAGTGGAATAAGCCAGTCCTCTGCTTCACTCACTCTAACTTCTTGGAACCAGCTATCTAAAGTGCACTTGGGCTGGGGAACCTAAGTCTCAATGACAGAAAAACTTGCTTTATCAATGGAAATAATAGAGAAGTTCGCTGGACTAAGATGTTGATTGGTGGCAGTCAGTGGGGAAAAAAAAATCTCATTTTTAGAACAAATAGTTGAGATGTCCTATAAATTGTAGAAAAATATATCCAACAATTCAGGACTTGTAATCTAGAACTCAGGATCATGCAGGTTAACCAGAATCTTAAAATACTACATTGATAATCTGTTATTTTTGAGAGATGAATATTTACTGACAAGAAGTTTGATGAATGACTGAGTGAGCTGAACTGATTTCTGCAGAGGGTACTCCCTCCTATTTATACTGAAGCTACCATAAATTGCTCCAAATACTTACTTGTATTTTTTCCAGATTTTTAGTGAATAAATTAAAATAGAAAGTCATATCTAATCTGCAAATACCGGAGTCTGAGGACACAGTTTATGAATTTTCTTCATACCCTTTTTCTGTATGTCTATACATATCTGCTGATTAATATAAATTTCAAAGAGGAAACTTGATAAGAGAGAAGAAAGGAAAATTAAAATTTTGTCCTATACTATAGCAATTCACTAGCTCAAATAAATGTTGGTAAGAGAGAATTGAAAATTTGTGGCTCGGTTATTTTTCATAGTTATCTATTGATTTTCTTTACCCATGCTAACTTCCTACCTTATCATGAATCACTCATAGTAGCAGACATTTAGCAGGAGTCATAGTTACAAATAATGAATATATATTTTGTAGTCTCCATTGGCTAATTATTTCTTATTTCTTCAAGTCTAACAAGGGCCCTGTCAAAGTAGCTGCTGTTACTCCCACATTACACTGGAGGAAACTGAGGCTCAGAAAGGAAATGTGACTCGAACAAGGTAAGAGAGCAAATGACATCTATTTTAATCCCAGGTGCCCAGGTTTCAAGTCCAGTGGTTTTCCTAATATACTAGAGCTGTCTTGATATTCTGCCTTGGTTTCATGTTAATTGTGCTATTGGTCATGGTAAGAATATTAATGAATACAATTACCAATGATTTAGTAAGGGAACAATTTTAAAAGCTTAAGTTTATTAGAAATGGCCAATTTAGTTTTATAAGGGATAGGTCATACTGAAATAAGTGACTGGATTTTTCTAGGATATAGTTTCCATGGTGACCATGGAAAGACTAACATTATATGCTTGGAATTCCAAAAAGTCCTTAGTAACATCTCAGAGATCATTAACTCAAATCTTGGACTGTGGGTAAAGTACCTTATTAGATAGAAACCAGGTTCAAAACAGCAACTGAAAGTATAGAATTTTCTAGCTGGAAAGAAGGCAAAAATAGAACACTCCAGGGTCAGATTGGGTGTTCTTATTTGTGATTTATAGGAATATTTAGAATTGTGACTGTGATGTTTCTGGTGTGTTGACAATATAGAAACCAGGGGGGAAATCATCTAATGATGTTTAAAAGAATGTGTTCATTGTAGCATGCCTCAAAATAACTATTACAATTAATCTGAATACTTTTGCAAGAGCTAATGGGGTCACTTGGCTAGGGTGTTGAGACCAGCTTAGAGTAACACTTAAGGAAAGAAAGTACGCAAAGCACTGAGCCTCTTGATCCATTGTTTTTGTTTGTTTTCTTGTTTTGTTTGGGTAGTAAGAAGGTTATAAATATTAAATATATAAGAAGGACAAGATGGTCCAAATTGGATAGATACACAGTCATATCAGATATATATAAAAAGAAGCAGATTGTCCTCTAATTTTCCTTTTTTTTAAGATTTCTTTATTTATGCAGAACTGGGGTACAGACCAGAGGTATGGGGGTGAGAGGATTCACCAGAGACAGAGTGGGGAGCAGAACAGGCAGATTGACTGAAGTGCACTGCTGAGGGGAGCAGCGGGCGAGACAGGAGAGGTCTGCTGCACCATGTGGGTTGCTCCCTGGCCAGCCAGGGATCAAACTCATGCTGCAGTGGCTGTGGAGGGAGGTCCCTGTCCTCTAATTTTTAATCCATGGTTAACTGTACTCCACTAACCTTCAAAATCTTTCATATACTAACGGATTCCAACTGCGTATTCCAGTTATCCAGCATCTCTGTTCTTCAATGTCTCTGCTTCCTCCTCTCTCTCTCTGTCTCCTCTCCCTCTCTCCATCTCTACCTCTAACTTTCTCTTACTCTCTTGCATTTCCTTTAGCCCTCTTCTCCTCATGCAAGCTCTTATTCTTTCCTCCATACCTTTGTACAGACATAAAATGTCTCTTCTCTCTGTTATTTTGAATGTCAGTTATTTGATGCCCAAGCTCAAGACTGATCCTATAAATAAATGACTGAATAAACAAATAAATTAACCTATTTCTTCCAGATTTCAGGGGTCAGCCGCCCTTGTAATGATTTTGTTAAGTCCTGCCCTCTCAACATTTCTCTGCCCCCCATTTTCATTGTTTTAATTTCTATTCATTTGTATTTTATTTTATGTTGTTCAGCTTTAGTGTAGTATTAGGCATCCTTGTAAAGCTAAAATGTCCTAGAGAACAAGGCTGATGTATCCCTTTCCTCTGCACCTTCTGTAGCATCTGGAGAGAAAGTAAGTGAACTGTTACTCATGGGTCAAATTTAGTCTTCCATGGGTGGAAATATACTTCTAAAACTTCTTGGCTTTAACAGAAGATGGCTATGGTCCAATTTTACCTGCATGCACAGTCATAGACGTCTTTCCTCCTTCACCTTCTCAGTCCACTACTTTAGTCGATCATTGTGGACACTTGGGAAATTCACTGCCAAATGTGCAGTGACCTAAACCAAGGAAAGAGTCAAGGATTATAGTGTTTCAGTTTGCATGTTCACTTGGAGTGTGGGACTGCAAGAGATAAAGCCATCATGATATTGGGAAGAATCCATTTCAATGTCCAGGGAAGAAATTGGCATAAATTCTGATAATGCTATATATTATTTGATGACTAATGTTGTTCAGTTATCTTTGCTTTTTAATAAGAATGTTTTATCTTCTGCATGTTCTAAATTAAAACCTCCCTATTTCTTGTATTTTACTACAATGTGTAATTTATTATTTCTCTCTAATGTAAGATTTATTTTTTATTGAAGTCACATTGGTTAAGGACATTATGTGAGGGTTTTATGTAGTAGGGGTGTGGTGGTCTGGTGAGCATGTTGAAAACACACTGCTGTGGTGCCTTGTGGAGAAGGAATATGAGGGTGGCAAAGCAGAAGCAAGGAATTAGCAGGTACAACCCACCCTATGATGCCCATTTAGAGGGTGAAAAATTACTAGGCTGAACTCGCCACACCCAATCCTAGGTCTAAAGGTAAAGCCCAACCCTGTTACAGAATACCTGGGAACAGGCCTTTGGATCTTTTACTATAGAATCCTCCTCTGTCCAAACAGCATTGCGTAAATAAAGAACAGGAGGATTGGCATTCAAACACATCAAAGTCATCTTTACAGACACATCACCCAAAGCAGTGATAGTGAAGGCAAAGATAAGCAGCTGAGACGACATCAAATTAAAGAGCTTCTGCACAGCAAAAGAGACAATAACAAAAACAAAGAGAAACCCCACTGACTGGGAGAACATTTTTGCACACAACACTAATGATAAAGGACCGATCACAAAAATCTACAAAGAGCTGATGAGACTCAACAAAAACAAAGAAAATAATCCAGTCAAAAAATGGGCAGAAGAGCTAAAAAGAAACTTCTCTGAAGAGGAAATGCAAATGGCCAACAAGCATATGAAAAAATGTTCAACATCGCTTGTAATCAGGGAAATGCAAATCAAAACTACCATGAGATACCATCTTACACCAGTGAGAATGGCACATATTAAAAAAAACTAACAACAACAAATGTTGGCGAGGGTGTGGAGAAAAAGGAACTCTCCTGCACTGTTGGTGGGAGTGCAAACTGGTCCAACCACTATGGAGAGCTGTGTGAAGATTTCTTGGCCTACTAAACATAGAGCTTCCATAGGATCCAGCAATTCCACTCCTAGGTATTTACCCAAAGGACACAGAAACATCAATTCCAAAGAGCACCTGCACCCCTATGTTTATAGTGGCACTATTTACAATAGCTAAGCTTTGGAAACAACCCAAATGCCCAAAAGTAGATGACCGGATCAAGAAGATGTGGTACATATACACCATGGAACACTACTCAGCATTCAAAAAAGATAAACACATGCAATTTGCAGCAACATGGATGGCACTGGAAGGGATCATGCTCAGCGAAATAAGCCAGAATGAAAAAGAAAAATACTGGATGGTCTCACTCGTAGCAGGAATCTAGAAAACTTAAATTAGGGACCAGGAAGAAGAATATAAGAAAGAAAATATCAAAATCAATAAACAACTATGAACCAGAGACACTCTATGGGGGGTGGGGGGCAGGGAAAGGAGGGATTGGGGTCAAAATATGGGGGTTGTAATTGTATGGGGAATATAAAAATAAAATTTAAATTAAAAAAAAAAAGATAGACTCTTGGAATCCCACCTCTGACAAGCCCTGTGTTTAGCTTCAGTTTTCTCATCTGTGAAGTGGAACTAAGGAAGTCTCAGGAAGGCTGTGGGATTGGATGAGATAACACAGGTAGGAGCACTGGGGGGTATTAGCTTCCTTTCTCCCTTGGGTTGGGACATTTAAAGGTAGTGGTACAAGGTATATTTCCACTCATAGATGACATTTAAATGTAGTCTGCCTCCGAGAATAGAAGAGACCATTTTTAACACACACACACACACACACACACGCCTCATGCTTATCACTTGGCCATCAGAAGCTTTAAGGTAAGGAGACCAGAGGACTAGGAGGGTCATTTCAACCTCCTTTATTCCATCAACAAGAAGCTAGAACTAAGAGTGAGAAATAAAAAAATCAAGAAAAGCAGTCATGGAAACGGCCTGCCCAGCTCCAGGCCAAACCAAACCTTAACGTCACACCTTCTCCAAGACGAGGTCATGAGAACCAGCATGTGCATAGTGGCCAACTGTTTCAAAGTGTATTCCTTTCTGTAACACGCTCGCTCTGGGAATGTGATTTGGATGGTGAAGCAGATTTGGAGGGTTTGGATCTGCATGTAAAGAAAAGGCCAATATGAAGGTTGAAGTAATAACTTTCACCTGACAGCCAGTGGAAGGGTTTACTTGGGTAAATGGTTTTCTAATTGACAGTTTTAGGCCCTGGCAACAGCAACAGAAAGGGAGTCCAAATCCTGTTGAGGGACTGTAACTCTAAAAGCTGTGTTAATGCGATAGATTAAATGTACCAAAGCTGAGGCAGCCCAGTGCAGACCCCTGGGCTGGGGATTGCCTTCCTGGTTTCACAACTGTTTATTTTGATTGCTTTAAGTGTTGTAAAGCCCCATTGCCTTCTTTTCAAATTTCTGGCCCACCTCTACCCATATTGCTAGTTCATTTGAACTTCTTTCCAACTTTTGCTTCCTCACAAAGCCTCTGCTAATCATGTGGTCAAAGATTTGGGTTGGTAAAGTTTGGTTACCCTGAACAGCCATGTGATCTAGGATTCTTCTTTTTTCCATGCATCTGCAGAACTTGTTCACACACATTATCTGTAATAGTCAGTTTATGCTGCATAACAGACAATCTTAAAATGCTGAGGTCCTCATGGGTTGGTTCGTGGACAGTGGTTTGATTAATTTGATCTGGACTCAGCCACTGACGGGCCGTGCTTTGCAGTGTTAGGTTTTTTTTTTTTTTGGAGGGGGGGCGCTCCAAGCTCTGGGTTGGGTGCAGGTGTGCCCCATGTTTCCTTTTCTTACTGGGACCAGCAGCTACCTGGGGTCTGTCATCATAGCAAGTGGGAGAAGTTCAAGAGGAAAAACCAAGTACACATATCAAGCCTCTGCTCAAATCACTACGACTCATCTCCCAAAGCAAGTCATCTGCTCAAATCCAAAGTCTAAGGGCAGGGAAACATACTCTTCCCCTCATCAGAGGAAGGAAAGTACTCAGAGATGTGTGAAGATTTGGGACTGGCACCAATGTGCCAGTCTACTACATCCTTCTTCTCCAAGTCCTGGTTCTAGTCCTGGTTTGGACAGCAGTGGAAAGAAAAGAGACATGGAAAGTATGAGCCCCCAAAAGGTACTATGTTCATTTCCTCATGGTCTACTCCATTCATTCTTCCATTTATACTTTCCCTGAGTCTTACTGGCCTATGTATGCTGATGACGTCACTTAAATAATAAGTGTCACCAGTTGTGCTCCTGTTGGTGTAATTTAAGACCCACTTCAGAAACTTTCCCAATTCAACTTGAGATCCCCCAGGAGTGTCTGACACTTGTTGACACTGATGCCTGTGAATCATCCAAGGGATCAGCCTCATCAACATCAGCTGTACCTTGGCAATATCAGTGCTCTCAAACTAAACACAGGTTTTAAAGAGGCTGTGTCTACTATAGTTTCCACTATGAGGCTAGAGAAACAGCGACACATTCTCCACCACAGCCAGTCACCTTCCTTGTCACATTCTAAAGAAGAGCTGCTTATCATCCCCACAACAAACTTATTACAGCAGAACTGTCAAGGTACCCTGGATCTTTCACTCTGCTCCTGCTACCTTCTGGCTACCAGTATCTTCATCTCTGTAACTAGAGGTTAAATTTTTCCCTCAGAACTGAAAAAGGCTTCTCTGTCTTTGCATATAGTAGACCAGAGGTACCAGGGAATCAGCAAGCACCAGAAGACTTCATCCAATGACTCTTAAGGCTTGGTCCATCCTGCCTCTTCCTCCCTGAGGGATAGTCCCCTGGCTTCAGTTTTGACACTCTTGTCCAGAGTTTCTCTGCAGGATTAAGTCCAAGTCAACGCTAGTCAGCTTAATATCCTACTTTTCATTTGGTGCCCTTCCTTCCCTGTGTTGCTTCCCTACTCAAGTTGGTGTTAATTTCACCTCATAAAAAGACTACTTGTACCTGAATCTCAGAGTCATTTTCTAGGAAAACAAATCACAGCACTGAGCCCTTTATGAAAGTGGCTTCTTTGACTTATGCCTCTAGGCTTCCCTCCCCCTTCCTCCTATTGAAACTAATTTGGAAAACTTCCAGTATGCTTTAATTCATGTTTTTATTTTCAATATGTTTTTCACTTATTCTGTACCCCTACCCTTCTTGCCAGAATAAAGCTATGTAAGTTGCCAGGCGACTTGACTTATAGATACATCAGACGGACTTGCCCAAGTTAATTCCTGGATCCAGCCATATGTACAACTCTTGGCTCAGATGCCCAAAACCACCACAGTGCCAATTCACATTCATCACATTCTATAACATTTCTTGAGTCACTTCTATATGCTTGGGACACCAAATCATATAAGAAATAGTCCATGACTGTAGAGAAGTATGATCTGATGGAAGAGTTCTTCTCACTGAGGCAAATGAACTGTTCTCTGCACCCCTCCCCCTTCCTATTTTGAAAAGATGTTAATTTCTATAGCTACAAAGAAAAGAAAATCCAAATTGCTATACTTTGGTTCATCTAGCATGTGCTTATAAAGCCATGCAGATCATGGACTTTTCCCCTGTGTGACCAAAACTGGAAAGAAGGACCAGAATTGACAAGGAAGACTTGAAAGGAATGTTGTTCCATCATTGTGCAGCCCAGAACTCCGGGTGAAATCATTTCACTTCTGAGGGCGCTGTTGTAAACTTAGAGCACTAAACCTGATGGATAATAAGGTTCAAATATTCTGTGGATCTGTATATTCAGATCATTCATTCTTAAAGGGAGGTTTATGATACTTGTATGTCTTCTGGGACCAGAAAGAGAAACTACTCCATGGTGCTAAGAGTGGGAAAGTCACTTAGAAGCTTGTGCAGGTTTCCTGTTAGGTTTTATTTGCTAAATTTGGCCAAACTCTGATTGTTGGTCAGGACCATGAAAAGAAAGAAGAAAACCCACATGTAACTCATCAAATATTTATTTTGTGCCTACTATTAGCTGCCAGCCACAGGCACTGAGAATGTAACATGAAGTAGACAATTTATTTGACCTTATGATGCTTATAGTTGTCTCACATCCCCATTTGCCTGAGTCTGGCTCACTTGTTTGCACATCATCTTCCAATTTTTTTTCAAGTTGTTTGTAATGAATTTGTTGTATGCATATATTTTGATGATTTTACCCTATGACATGTTCGGGATTCGATGTTAAGTTCTTCTGCCCGAGAACAAAAGAGGAAGAGTCACACCCACAAATGTTCGGGGGTGAGGATGGGAGAAGGGAGGATTGTGTCTAGAAGAGACTGAGCACAACTAGACCTGAGGTTGTTCATGGGCCTTTTGCTCTGGGGTAAATACCAGTTGTTCAAGGCAGATTAGAGACATGTAGACACCAGGATGCCCATCCATCTGGCGGGCCATTTGCCTTCAGAATGTAAAGAAATGTTTAAGCAGAAAGATGGAATTGGAGTCCTCACAGCTGCTTTGAGAAATTTCAAAGACAGGGCCAATCAGCCGGGAAGGGAATGAGGAGGGCATAGAAGAATGATTCAAATATCAAAAGGGAAATCAGTAAATTTGAAACCCCAGACCTGGAAACAATTAGAGGTCAGCTGGTAACTGTCAAGAATCAATATAAGAAAGATGTAATTTTTAATAACTCAGAAGTAAAGTGTGCTGTTAGCATACTAGGACTTGAGATAGGGGGTGAAATAAGTGAGAAGAAATGTGGTCTGTTAGCAATTATTGTGGATGCCAGGGCCAGCTTAAAAGAATGACTCTCACCTTCTCAACGCCCTGCTCCTCTTTCCCCTCCGTGCAGCCACCAGCCTGGCATCCCCAGGGCACATCTGGCATATCCACATCTCACAGTTCACTGCACACGTACCCAGAGCTCTTCTACATCCATCCAAATATGAATGTCTCTGACACCTTCTTTGCCAAAGAAGCTGGAGCTGTAGGAAACATTGAAGAGTCTTTGGTTCTTAAACAAATAAATGTTTACCTACCTATTGATTTTTGAGCCAAATTCATACATTAAAAGCTTCCAGGGGCAACTCTAAAGTAGTGCAAGCAAACAGTTTCACATTTGCCAAGTTTTTGTAGCTCTCGAAAAGACGGAAACAGGAGCCAAACTGGACGGCATCTTTTCTGCAGAACTGAAGAAGAGCGCGACTTAACGGTCACTTCAGAGATGGACACTTTTCCAAAGGAAGAAAGAACAAAAACTGCCTTAGCAACCATGCCATGTAAGCAGACAGGAGGATCCCTGAGAAGTTTAGATCAGCATTTTGCAAACTACTCTGTGAAATATTAGTTCTGAGTGATTTTAATGGGCATTTCATTAAAAATTAAGAGAAAAAATAATGAGTTCCAATGTCAAATAAGTTTGTGGTGGGAATTTTACAAGGACTATACCTGAGAGGAGAAAGTATACATTGTACAAAAATGAACAATGATGTAAAATATATAAATTTTTTAAAATGCTGAGTTACACAATGTTAAACAGATTCCTTTATTGCAGGACTTCTGAGATCATTTATGGACTCTGAATGGGATTGTGAATTTCAGAATTTGTGAAAGGGGTGGGATTTACTATTGTGCCACTGGAAAGTCACCTCATCTTGAGACCATTTTTTTGGTTGATTATCTTGCCAAAGCCAAGTACTTGCTGGCTAAAGTTTTTCTTTAAGTCAGCAGGTGTCAATATCTTAAGTGCATTGAGATTTAAATGGGTCATTGCAGGGACAAGAATTACACCTTTGGCACCTTTTCAAATTTCATTTCTTCTAATGCAAATTCTGGGCTGAAAGAGTACTCTTATGCTGCTTGCTTCTGAATCCCTCTGATTTTTGAAATGGGATAAATTTCATGTAGCCAGGTAGTTTGACTGAATTCAGGATCCCAGTCAAGCGTCAGTCTGGTCTTAATGTCAGTCTCATTTGACCATGGTGTAGAAGTAATTGTTCCCTGCTTTGTTTCCCTGTAGCTGGAAGTTATTAGAGGTGAAAGGAGTCTTGGAGATAGCCTCTCCTGGCAACTTCAATTTACAGTCAGGGAAACTGAGGCCCAGAGATAGGGAAGAAATGCCTTAAAACCAGGTAGCCACTTTTTCTAGAAGCAACTCTTACAAAGCCCACCCAGACGTCTGCTCCCCCTTCTTCGCTCCCAGGCATAAAGAACCTCAGGTTTCCTCCAACTTCATATCCCACTTAGCTCTTTAGGAGTCTGAAGCAATTCAAATGAGCCTCCTTGCCCTGTCACAGACTGGAGCACATTAAGGGCAGGAAATTAGGCAGGGGCATGTTTGTAGATCCGGTGCCGATTACTCTTCCACTCAGATTGTACATCCACCAATACGGAATGGATTTATCTCTAATTTATTAAAGGTCGGTCAGCATGGATTGATAAAGGAAAGGCCATGTCTGATAAATTCACCTAAATTGAATTCTTAGGCCACATTACCAAATCAGCAGACATAATTTATCTGGATTTCAGGAAAGCATTTACTGCTGTAGCATATAACAGATGCATTTATTAAGGCAAAGCATTGTGTGATGGTTAAGTGTCAGGTGGCAATTCTGGAAACAGGTTTAAAATGGCCCAGAACCCAACACTGGGTATGCTGGCAGGAGACACTTAAAAGTACAGACAGAGGGGTCAGTCTGGGGGTCATTATTTCAAAGTCCTTGACCCTAATTATAATTTAATTTCCACAATGGTCATATCTCTTGAGAGCAAAATTGGGATGAAGGGGACAGTTTTAAAAGGAACAGGCTGAAAACAAGTTCTGAATTTCTTTTTTCAATCAGACTGGCTCAGCAAGGACTGAATGAGTTATTCTTCCGCCAAATGAACACAAATAAACAAAAGAACAAAGGAAGCCAAAGACTTCTGTCCAACAAAGAAGTGCAGTGAGGAACTCTGAACAAGACAGCGATGGAAGAAGGTTTCATGAATACTCAGAACTCAGATAGTCTGGCTGATAGCAGCAAGAGAAATGGAATTTAGGGTTCTCGAGATATAAATAGGCTCAAATAATTACGTAACTGTGAGTCATTAATATCCTTGCTATGGCCTCAGAAGGCACGAGCGCCTAACTCTGGTTTGAATTTACCTCTTCTTAAAGTCAAGATTTATGCATCAGCCTTACATCTTTATCCAGGCAATGTGGAATGGATTTCTCTCTAATTCATTAAAGGTCAGTCAGCATGGATTGATAAAGGCAAACCCATGTCTGATACATTTACTTAAATTAAATATTTCCTCTAGGCTACTGCAAAGGTGACCTGAGGTGACCGTCATCAAGAATTTGCCCAGGCTCTCCTCAGGCCCCCCATTTTATCCTTTCCTCCACTTTACACTCTAGGACTCTATGCCTTCTCTCTCATATCCCTCATTGTGCAATACGTGACCACTTGTTCCATTTTCTTTCTTCCCCACTAGACAACAAGCTCTATGAGGGCAGAGGCTATGTCCCTCTTGTTCGCTATTATATATCCAGCTTTTACATAGTGCCTAGCACTTAAATTCACCCACATAGTCTTAAGCTGAGATCTCTCTCTAAATGCCCTCACCAACTCCTTGGGATTCCCAGAACAGTGGTTGAATGCAAATTGTTTCTTACTCAGGAATAAGCAGTGGTGTTTGTACTTGGTCTCAATCACTCGTTTCTAGGTCTGCCCCAAGGTGTCCCCAAGGTATCGGTAAACGCCAATACCCTCAAAGCAGCACTGAGCATGCCCACACTTGTGCATATTTGTTCTACCTGCAACCTCCCACTTACACTCCACCCCGAATACCTATCAAAGCCATCCAGGTACCTTGGGCTAACACTTCTCTCTGGGGGTTCTTTTCTTGTGTGGGACCATGTGCTGTGTGATGCTTAGCTGTATGTGCCAACTGGAAGGGTGTTTTGAGATGAGATTAACATTTAAGTTGGTAAACTTTAAACAGATTGCCCTTCATAATGGGGATGGGCCATACATGTACAATCAGTTGAAGGTCTGATTAAAACAAAAAGGCCAGTTTCTCCAAGCCTGGGGAACATTCCAGCACACTGCCTTTTATTGGACCATCCACTCTCCATGGTCTCCAGGCTGCTGGCCCATATGCACATTTGAACTTGCCAGTCTCCATAGCCATGTGAGCCAATTCCTTATAATAAATAGTTTTTCTATATGCCACTCATGTTCCACAAAACAATGTTTTAGTCAGTGGTGGGCTGCGTGTGATAGTGGTCCCAGTTGCCTTGTATATCACAGCCATGGTGACATGGTAGCCTTTTGAGCTGGCAACAATCCCATAACTCTCATGTTGGCCATGTCTTTTGATAGCACTATTTCCCCTTGGTTCTGATTTAATCTCATGTTGTTTTGTTCATCAAAGACCCTAAGGAGGCAAAATCCACTGCTAATATCGCATTTGCACAGCAATGAATTGACTTAATGACACAGCTGCTGACATTAAGCCAACGCTATATCCAGTTGTCCATTTGCTCTGGAAAATCCTAATATACAGGAATATCGAGCATTATACTTTCATTTAGGTTTCTGGACTGTTGAACTTAGGAAAGTAAGTTCCTTCATCCCACTTCAGCTGGGATGAAGACAAGAATGCCTCCACTGTTGCCCAGTGACACAGAAGCCTGAGGGACCCCAAAAATTATAGCAAGAGTCTAGCGCCCCATTCAAGGTGCCCCATTCAAAGTCTAGTGCCCCATTCAAGGTTCCTCGGACCTCCAAGGACACTCTGTAATGTTTCCAAGCTCTGAGAGGAGATTTGAGAACTACTATCCTGTCCTCCACACATCCCTTCAAGACCTGAGCTAGGCGCACAGGGAGAGTGTTGTCCATAGTTGTGCTCTGGTCACTCATCATTCCTCATCCCATCCAATCACATGCCTCCCTCTTTTACACCTATGATGATTGACAGCAATGACGTCCAATTGCAGCATTTCCTTTCAAATTCATTTGTAGCACTGAGAAGCAGGTTTCTTCAATTCTCCAATACACGTTACAAAAAATACGCTTGCCAGAATGTCTAGACAACATACAGAGCATACAGAGTGGAATCATCCTGTGCCTTGATCATTCCCCTCATTATAATTACATAACTACTTCCGGGGCTGGAGCCATCAATCTTATTTCAGAGGAACAATTTTCCAAATCCATATGTGGAGAGATGAAGAAAATATTGTCAGTGGGGAACTGGCAAGGAGAATCATCCACGCACATCTGTGCGATCCATGTAGCTCTGTGTAGCAAATCTCACTGGCACCTGGACCACAATCGTACATCCCAATTAAATGGACCATTAAATGCCACTGTGCCCACTGAACTAACAGTGAGCCTGAGGCCCAAAAAAAGGTGAGCCCATGTATCCAAGTTCATACAGGCTACTTACAAATGGAGCTGATGGGACTTGTTAGTCAAATGGACCTTGAATGATATCACTACCTGGATTTCCTGCAAAAGAATGTCATCATTGAGAAATCTTGAACTTGGTTTAGAATATAGCTTCCTAACCCTGAACTTCCTGTAACTATTATATTACAGAAAAAGAACAATCATGGAGAAAAGGAAAGGAAAATTTTAAATATTCTTTTCTTCTTGTTCTTGATTCATTCCCAACCTTCAAGATTTATATGTGATGCTTGTTTTGCCCTGGTAGAATAATGATTTCTTAAACTGCTAATGCAATTATCACCATCATCATCATCATCAATTTCATCATTTTAATTCCATGTGAAAGGTAAGGAAGAGAGGGTGTTTACCACAATGATTTAGTAGCACTGTTTGGTTAAGGCCACATTTGTAGTACTATGAACTAGCTTCTTTCTGGTGCATTTGAAACACTGCCAAGTCACTTATCACTAACATTTTCTTGAAGAACAGAGCTTCTTTTCTCTCCTCCTGTCGGCTTGCCAGAAAGCATTCTACTGCTATAGCCAGCTACAAGATGGGATGGGATAGAAGTATGCATTAATTATATTCTAAAGTCTGCCATAAATTCTTTTTTTTCACATTTTATTTAAATTTTATTTTTTATGTTCCCCATACAATTACAGCCCCCTTATTTTGACCCTAATCCCTCCTTTCCCCGCCTCCACCCCCACATAGAGTGTCTCTGGTTCATGGTTGTTTGTTGATTTTGATATTTTCTTTCTTATAGTTATTCTTTTTCCTGGTCCCTTATTTAAGTTTTCTAGATTCCTGCTATGAGTGAGACCATCCGGTATTTTTATTTTTCTTTTTGGCTTATTTCGCTGAGCATGATCCCTTCCAGCTCCATCCATGTTGCTGCAAATTGCATGTGTTTATCTTTTTTGAATGCTGAGTCATAAATTCAACAAAGTGAATCTAGATGGAAAGATTAGAAGCATTAAGAATATTTCCTCAAAAATTACTTGAGTATGAAGTAATAGAAATAAGACAACACAGAATAACTATGATTTATGTATATTTTAAGGGAAGGAGAGGAGTCTTCAGTTCTTTACAACTCTCTATAGAAATTTGTTCAAGACCCTGATCCCAGTGTATATCTACAGAACCATACCATGGCCTGGTGGGCCATTTCAGGAGGTAGGATATTTCATTTTTTAAAAGATTTATTTATTTATGCATATAAGAAATGTAGTATAGTCCAGACATGCGGGGGGTGAGAGGATTCACCAGAGACACAGCAGGGAAACAGAACAGGCAGATTGACTGAAATACACTGCTGAGGGGAGCAGAGGGCCGAGACAGGAGAGGTCTACTGCACCATGTGGGTTAGCTCCCTGGCAGTGGCTGCTGATAGCAGTTGAGTGTCTGCTGTGACTTAACCCTTGCACCACCAGGGAGGCCCCTGGTAGGATATTTTAGAGGCAATTAGGAAACATAGCAAATATTAGGGTTTGAAGAAAGAGGTGAGGATATTTAAGAGGGAAAATATTGAGAATGTGAGAGAAAATTACAAATATTGGAACTAAGAGTTAAATTTAGAATGACCATACAATTTATCTTCCAAACGGAGACACTTTTGAGAGATCATACCAGGATGGCAGAAATAACAGCCTGTATGGTCATCCTAAGCAGAATGTTAATACTGCAAAGAGAGAGTATGTATTAATGGCATGAATTAATGACAAGGTCAGGAAGAGGTACTATATTAGTTTGCTAGGGCTGCTATAACAAAGTACTACAGACTTGGTGGCTTAAACAAGGGAAATTTATTTTCTCACAATTCTGAAAGCTAGAAGTCCAAGATCGAGGTGTCAGGGGGTTGGTTTCATCTGTGACTTCTTTTTAGCGGATGGCCATTTCCTCCCCGTGTTTCCACATGGCCTTCCCTCTGTATGTCTGTGTCCAAATTTCCTCTCCTAACAAGGATGCTTCACATTGGGTAGGACCCATCCTCATGACCTCATTTCAACTTAATTAACATTTTAAAGTCTCTTTTCTAAATATAGTCACATTGTGAGATGCTGAAGGTGAGGACTTGCCCATATGAATTGGGGATGGGTGTGGGGATGGGTATAATTTAGTCTTGAACAGGTTCTGATTTTTTTTTTAGATTTATTCATTTATTTATACAAGCACTGGGTACAGTCAGAAGTGTGGGAGGATGAGAGAATTCACCAGAGTCTGAGCAGGGAGCAGAACAGGCAGAAGGACCAAAGTACACTGCTGAGGGGATCTGTGGGTGGCAGAAGAGGTCTGAGCGCCATGTGGGACCCTCCCCGGTGGCCAGGGATATAACCAGCGCTGCAGAGGCTGCGGGCAGCTTCGCAGCCCAGCACTCAACCACTGCGCCACGGGGGAGGCCCTTCAGGTACTGATTTTTAAACAAAGACCAAAGTTTGATAAAAGTAGTTCATGCATCTGACAATGGTTAGACTCTTCAAAAGATCAAAAATTCCTGGATCCTAAGATACCTCACTTACCAGGTAGAGACCAGAGGAACGTGGTCATATGCCAGCATAGCAGATGAAGCAAAGTTTCACAATAAAGAGTAAGAGTGATGTTTAAAATATTTAACTGATTTGTTACAGGCATTGACAAATCAGCATGAACATCAACTATCACTGAGCTGGAACAGGGTCCTGGAAGCTGCCCTATGTGGCCAGGGTTAACTTTTAGTTGAAGTATTATGGGAGAGGCTTACTGGTAGGGCATGTCCCAGGGCTGTTGCCTGAAGAAATCAGGGCAGCAAGGGATGTTTAAAATTTCTTAGTGAGCAACAAATTGTGCACTTTTGTATGTTCTCCAGCTTGAACTGTGCTCACTTGCCTGGGTTTCTTCCTCTTGTGATCTGTGCAATTGGGGCAAATTTCCAAAGAATGAACAAGGAATAAATAGAAGAAAAGACATGGTATTAGAGGCTAGCTGAATTGGCAGGGCTTTGGTGAAATTCAGTAACTCCCCAGCTTAGAAACAAATCATCTAAAGAAAATTTTCTCACATCAACTTACGTCTCTCAGAAAATCATGATAATCTTCACCATTTCTACTATAACCTAAAATAACAAAAACTTGGGTGTGAGGAAATGATTATAAGGACATATTCCTGAAGTAGCAGGGTTGATGAGAATTTTGCAATAAAATTTTAAACAATGTTTAGTATCAAAGTGGAGTCTCCTCCCTCGAGACAGGAGGCTTTTGAAAGTTACACCTTACTTTGGACGATGAGGATTGGAATGCATGAAGACAGTAAAAGCCAAGAATTTTGCACAAGGTTTTGTGGGTAAGGAATAGGTAGGTGTCAGCCCTTTACGCTGAAAAAAAAAAACACTGATTTTTCTTTCCTAGATTTATTGTAAAATCATTTGCAGAGAATTTGGGGGAAACCTTAGAATAGGAAATCATTTTACGTGGTAAATAACTCCAGCCATAGACCAGCCTGACAGAGGGATTGAGAAACCCGCCAAGCAAAGAGAGGCTTATGTTGTATTGGAGTTAAATCTCAGAAGAAAATATTGCCAGGAGGATCTTCATATTTTGCCTCTGATACGGAGGATGGGAAGAGTGGGAAGGTGATGAAGATGATGACCACCAACAGCAGACAGGAAAATGTAACTGAAGATGGCAGCTCCAAGAAGATAGATGGGCCGTAGAATCCCAGAGCGCTCAGATTCACTTTAGAGTTTTCAGGTGATGATTCCCTTTGATTCATGGCTGCAGTTTTAAGGGCAAAAGAACCTAGTTAGCCAGAGATGGGCTGCAAACAAAAAGAAAGACTTCTCCAGCTGGGAAAACAAAAGATGTTTGCAGTGATGTTGATGAAAGCTTTTTTAAAGTGAGAGGTACAGAGAGAGTGTATGAGGAAGGCAGCTGGAGCTTCTCCAGGCCAGCTAATGACGTATGGGGCTGCTGACACAGCGGTTCAGCCAGCCAGTGCCGGAGAGAGCGGCCTTGGGGACCTGCCCTTTTCTTGGGGTTGGACCCTAAGAGTCCAGGTCAGGGAAAGCTTTGCCACTTGGTTTATAAGACTTTATTTCTTATGCTCTCGTTTAAATGCTCACCACTGGGACAGAGCTAAAACTTAGCTTTTCTCTTTTCAGACTTCATCCCCTTAGCAGGTGTTTGGTTTCTAAGATCAGAAATCAACAGGGGAAAGGACATTAGTCTGGGTTATAAAATGAAATGAAACGCCTCTACTTTTTCATCTCCTTTTAACTAAAATGCCTGGTGTTTTGCTCATGAGGCTAAAGGAAAAAAAAAAAACAACCCAAACTGAATATAAAATACCCACTTGCTCCTTTCCTCATCCCAGGGTCCTAGGGAACCATGTGACTTGGTAATTATGTTGACCAAGTGGTGAGGTTGTGCCTAGGTAATCTGAAAAGTAAATTATTGTGCATGACAGCATAATTTCTCCTTTTTTCATGTTGTTTCACCAATTAAGGCAAGACGACATGCACTGCAAGGGCAGCATATGTGATGCTTTATAAACTCACGCTGCAGGTCCCACTTCATTTCCCTTTGTCACTAAGTGACTTCTAGTTCTACCTTATGAAATTCCAGCATGGGCAACTTATTGTCTCAGGAAGTAGTTTGTTCCATCATCAAATTTTAGCATAAGATGGATTCTAAATTTGACAAAGGCTCCTTCCAGCTGAAAACAATAACTGATGCATTGGAACCCAAGGGCTAGGCTCATCAAAACCCATACTGCAGAAACTGCTCTTCTATTTCAGAGCTATTCATATAGCTAAGCTTGTCGCATGCCGTTGAGTTCTAGGAGAAACAGTTCAGATGCATTAGTGTTTGGAGTTTGGTTTCATTTCATTGATAAAGTTTTATTTCTAATGGAGTGGATTTAGACATTTGGAAGGATTTCCTACCCTCATAGGAAGGTTTCAGCACACTGGAACAGTTACTATGAGGAGGAGTAGAGTGTAGAGAATGTCCTTCTCTACATGTCTTTCAATATTTTACCAACTCCAGTATCTCTACGAAGCTGCTGCATAGGTCACCCCTAAAACAAGGGTAAGTACACCCCTCCCATTTAGTCAGGTACTTCCAAAACAGTGGGAAAATGCCCTAAATGTCCATGTTAGGGGTCAGCAATCTTTGGCCCACATGAAAATCTATTCTCTTACAAAATCTTGTTGTAAGGCCCTGTGAGCCAAGAATAGTTTTTGTATTTGTTAACAGTTGGAAAAAAGGTTTTAAAAGAATTAATTGTGACATATGAAATTCAGGTTTCAATGTCAATAAATACAGTTTTCTTAGAAAACAGCTAGTTCATCATTTATGTCTTCTCTGTGACTGATTTTACATTATAAGAGCAGAGTTGAATAGCAGCAAGAGAGACCATATGACCTACAAAGCTTAAAATATTTTCTATCTAACCCTTAATGGAAACATTTGTTGCCCCTGATGTAGGTCCTCCCCAAGTCTTCCTAAATATATTGCCTTGAATTTAACAATCTGTTTGCCTAGATCTGCTTCCTCCACTCACTGTTCACAAAGCTTGCTGTGCATGCCTGGCACACACTAGATTTTCAATAAATTCTTAATGAATGAATATAACCAATGATTTCATTATAAAAACAAATGGAATGGGATAACAGAAACTCCAAAGATGAAAAGCCAATGGTACTTCTGCTTACAAAGAGCACATCACAGAGAAGCTGTTCTTGATGAATGTGCAGTTTGTCTAAAATGTCTGCAGTCCTCTCTGTATGCGAGAGATCTATGGTTCTAGACTCCCTGGCTTGTAATTACACAAAATCTTCTAATGTCAATCATAGGGTCAATCCCTATACCTTTCAAGTGCAATCTTCTTGATTATAAGCAGCCACCGACCAAAGACATAAATTAGAGAGGGAGATTTCTCAAACCCTAGGGCAAGAGTTTAGTTAGAAACAACTTGGAAAGTGGTTTAACTTCTTGACAATTACTCACCCTCAGCACACAGAATTCAAAGCAAACCAATTATTTCCCACAGTGTCGAAGAAAATAATCATTTTGTGTTTCTTGTTGGGTGGCTTCTTTTTTCTAAGCACCATCGCCCTGTTTAAAGCTAATATAAAGGAGATGTGGGTAGGGAAGATAGAATTCAGTGTGTTTGGTCCTGTCTCATTATTTCAAAATGCC